AGTCTAGGCGCTCATGCTCAAAGAAATCTACTTGAATCTGGAGCAGGTGCAAAGATGGTGTGGGAAGTGGAAAGCTAAGGTGCAGAGGAGGCACAAGATTAAAATGGTTTGTTTATCCCAGCAAAACAAAGATGACAAACATGACTGGGATCAGAGAGCTGCCTGTAAATACACCAGGGGAGGAAAAAAACCCCACAAGTTAAAGCAAAGGATCATTTTGGCAGAGTAAGTTAATGTAAACTAGCTATGAATATATTTTATCTGGGAATTAGAGGAAGTTTCCCATCTATCAGGCAGAGAAGACCTAAAGAAGCCGTCTACTTGGGTTAGCACGGGCAAGTAAACAAACATATTTGACAATTGAGGTTTCTAAATTACTGGAATGTCTGATGTGAAATGATATTTCAAGACAGAGGAGAATGACTTGGTAGGCCTAAGACTCCTTTTCTGGCCTTTACTCCTACATGCAGATTGTTTTTATGACCCGAAACCCTCTTTCCTTTACTAAGGGCATCATCATCTTTAAAATCCCCTGTTGTTGTCACCCAAGAGCCCTGTGCTGCATCTGCAAACCTTCTGGCCCCATAGAGCTGCTGTTGCTGCTGCTCCCAAATTCATCACGGGGGTCACTGCCAAACAATGAGACACGCTTTCTCCCACCGGGGTTGAATGAGCTGCTTTCTTTCAAAGCACCCTTTAATTGACAGCTAGGAATAGCTTTCCATGATGACAGGCTGCCATTAATATCATTCACCAGAATGATATGCGAGTGATAGTATATGTATTTAGAGGAAAAAGGACAGACTAATCCTCTGCAAACAAATGTTCCAACAGAATACATGAACTGAGCTGTGGTTTCAAGAATGACAACATGGATATAAAAATGTACATTGTGAATATTAGTATTCCCTTAAATACGTGTTCACATTGGTTAATGAGTCCCACCGGTGGCATTAGTATCTGAAGGATTTGGGCTGGCACGTTATTAACTGGTTAAGTAGAAAACAGTGATACAAAACTACTTGTCATGTGTATTATAAGGCATTTAAAAGCTGCATTCAGCATAAGCAGCTGAACAGGACTGAAGGAGTCACCTCTAAAATGAGGCGATGTTTCTTTGTGCCATATTCATGTAAAAACCAATTGCTTCAAAAGGAGCTGTGCTCCATGGGCCCTTGGGAAGGAGACTCTGGGAGCAGGCCTGGGAAGGTAGTCAGTGGGACCCTCTCTCCTCTGTGCTGACCCAGCAGCAGGCAGAGACCTCACACTTCATAGTGGGCTAGGATGAGCTCAGTCCTTTATTCACACAGGGGATCCCCTGGAGCTGCCACGAGGGGCTGAGAGAGTTTATTCTGCATTTTCTACCTTACTGTGCCCCACCAGTTTGCTGCCTTCTCGTAAAGCTCTGTTTGTCCATCAGTAAAGAGGTGGCTGCACATCTGTGCTGAATGAATGATGCTTTCTTAAGAAACTGTTGGGTTTTTTAAACAAATAAAACTTCGGGGTAACTGTAGACAAGGCTGCTGCATCTGCTGGTGGCAGCACAGGGGATCCAGCCAGAAGAGAAGGGGCACAGGTGGAAGCTTTGGGATGCCCTTTCTACCCTGGCTTCAAAGATAGTCCTTTGTGTAAATCAGGACAGCCCAGACACCATCCCAGCATGGACCCTATTTCCTCTGGGCTGCTTCTAGCCATCCCAAAATGTCTAAAGTAGGACAAGCAATTAAGACTCCAGAGCTAATCCTGAAATACATTTACTCTTGGACTGACAGGGGGCTGATTCTGTCGATCCTGACGCAGTGGGGGAGCGGGACTGGAATGTGTTGTGCTACCAGGAGTAAATAAGGTGACCCTGATCAGCAACTGTCCTGGGTTCAGCAGTAGAAGTCATTTTTCTACTTCTTAGTAGCTGGTGCAGTGCTGTGGTTTTGACTCTCAGCCTGGGAACATCAATGTTTTTAGTTGTTGCTAAGTAATGTTTACTCTGACCAAGCACTTTCTGAGTCTCATGCTCTGCCAGGGAGAAGCGGAAGCTGGAAGGAAGCAGAGACAGGACACCTGACCCAAACTAACCAAAGAGGTATTCCATATCACAGCACATGCCCACTGTATAAACTGAGGGCAGTTACCTGGAAGGGCTAGATCACTCTTCGGTTGGGCTGGGTATCGGTCAGTGGGTGGTGAGCAGTTGTATTCTCTCCTCTTGTTATTTCCCTTATCATTATTATTATTGGTGGCAGCAGCAGTGGTTTGTGTTATACCTTAGTTACTGGGCTGTTCTTATCTCAGCCCGTGAGAGTTACATTCTTTTGATTCTCCTCCACATCCCTCCGGGAACAAGGGGAGGAAGGCGGGGTGAGGAGTGAGCAAGTGGCTGCGTGGCTGAGTTGCCAGCTGGGCTTAAACCACAACAGCAACTGTCAGCCTTTATGCCCACTTTTCCACATCTGCACGACTCAGTTTCTCAACATTGCTTGCCCAGAGCCCCATGGCATTCACCTTTGCATTTCTTGCTCTGCCACTGACTGAGCCCCTCATGGAGGTGAGCTGCTCCCAACCAAGTTGGTAGAGAGGCCACATGCATTGATGGGGAAGCCACAGGGTATTCATTGATCACCCTCATTATTCCAGAAACCTGGAGTGAGCCAGATTAATCTGTAGGTGACATTTCCAGTGGCTTGCAATGTTCATTTGAGACATGCATGCTCAGATATGAACACTACAGAAACAGTGACAATGTTTAATAAAACACATCTCAAACTGGTTTGGGTGCCTTCTTCAGCAGCTGATAGCTGTACAAGAAAAAAGGACCTCTTTGGAAACGCAGTAGCCAAAGGGAATCACATTGCTGTCCTGCAGTCTCTGAAGGACAACTTGTATGGCTCTCACAAGGGTCCCTGAGAGTGGCAGAAACCAGGATGTGGCCACTGTTTATTGCAGATGCTCAGATGGGAAAAAGGTTTCCCTCAAAAACATGGGCAAGAGGAACTCTCCTGCCTGCTGTGCTGTGTGGGTAACAGCACACACCTATAAGCCATTCAGTGCTTGTCTAGACTGACATAAAGTATGTTTTACTGCTAGATGCAGAGGCCAGTGGTGAAAAGGCCTCCTCTCCCTCACCCTCCCAGAAACGCAGGCTGTGAGCCCTGAATTTCAGGCTTTGGGGTTATAGTGTAATTTCAAGCATCTCTCAGCCAGTTCCCATCCCTGATAAGGAGGGACAGGGACAGATCCAAGCAACACCGTAGCACAAAGGCTCTCCTCAATTCACTCTCCTGGACTCCTGGCAAACCATACATTAGTCACCAAAGGCTTGACAAATCACAGTGATTCAGCTAAGCTTAAAAGTAAAACTTCACATTATCCTCGCTTATGTGGGTGGGAGGCTGAGAGATGCCAAATCTAAGAGGGCTTAAAGGAACTCTTTCTATTATTAAATGGTTTGCTGTTGGTATTTTTATAGTTCTGACATGCTACTTTCATGATTCAGGCCTCCTGAGTTCAAGGCTGCATACGAACAGAGCAAAAAGATAAATCCAGCCTGAAGAGCTTGCAATGCAATTAAAGGCAGGAGCACCAGGCAGATCAGGCCAGGCAGCCAGCCCTTCTTGCAGAGTGGTCATCAGTAAGTGGCCATCAGTCATCCCTGTGGTGCTTAGGTTTGTCTGATATTTCAAGGCACAGAGATAGAGAAGGCCTTCAAGGATGATTTGAAGAGAATGGCAAGATGACAGAGAGTAGGAATGCTCCTAACTGTGGGCAGGGGACAGGTGAGGTGACCTCCAGGATCCCTCACAGTCATATTTGTGCAAGTTGGTGATGGAATTTGCTCTTCACAGACATGTGGGGTATCAGGGATGGGGCAAAGGATCTGCTGGTTTGCAATGTGGTTGTATGAATTGATGCAGGGAAGCAAAGCGGTGACTGGCCCCAGCTAGTATGCTTGTCATTGCACCTGTGCTTTCCAGTAAAGCTGTTGAAGTGTGATGAGGAATGGCTGAGAGAAGTGGGGTTGTTTCGTCTGGAGAACAGAAGGCTCAGGCAGGACCTTATCACTCTCTACAACTACCTGAAAGGAGGATGGATTGAGGAGGTGGCTGGTCTCTTCTCCCAAGTACCCAGCAATAGGACAAGAGGTAACGGCCTCAGTCTGTGCCAGGGGAGGTTTAGGCTGGATACTAGGAAAAAAAATCTTCCCCAAAGGGTGGTCAGGCATTGGAACAGGCTGCTCAGGGCAGTGGTGGAATCACCATTCCTGGAAGTGTTCACAAGCCATGTAGATGACTTAGTGACATGGTTTAGTGGTGGACTTGGCAATCGTGGGGTAGATGCTGGCCTTGATGATCTTAAAGGTCTTTTCCAACCATTTGATCCTGTGATTCTATGGTGCAGCAGTGGGCTGAAGATTAGGCATCATTGCAGGTAAGATGTGGGTGTCCTGGCTGTGGGTGCCAGCCATGTGCGTGGGGAAGACATGACACAGCTTGGGGTGTCTCGTGGAAACTGGGCAAGTCTATACTCAGGTTTAGGATCACTTTAGGATCATGTTCTGCATGAACACAGAAGATCTGGAAGCCGGTGACTGATGTCCAAGTTAAGGGAAGGCAAGACAGCCCCAGGCTTGGTGAGGGACCTGACTTTGACTTAATCAAATGAAGCAAGGAAACACCGGCCGGCACCAGCTGTGATTACTGCCGCAGCCCTACCCGGGCACCACGCAGACCAGCAGAGTTCTCAGCACCGGCAGCACTGACTTCCCAGGTGAAGTAATGGCATGAGTGCTGATGAGACCCGCTCCCGGTGCCTGCGTCACTCAGCAAGGGGATGGTGGCTTTCTCCGCTGCATCCAGTGTGAAAGGGGAGGCCGACGGGCTCCCACGGGGCCGGAGAAGCGCGACCCGGCGCGGCGCCGGCGTCGAGGCGCGGCCACGCGGGGAGGCAGGGCGAAGGGGCGGTGCGGCGGCGCCGAACTACAAACCCCAGTGTCCCCTGCGCGGCGGCGAGGGGTGTGCGCCTGCGCCGGGGGGCGCGGCGGAGAGGAAGCCCCGCCCCCGGCGGCGGCAGGCGGCGCTGCGGTTGGCCTGCGGCGCTGCCGCTCAGAACGGGGTCGGGGGTCAGAGTGCGCGGAGGTGAGTGGCGGTGTTGGGGACTCGTGGTGCGGAGTGTGTGCGGGGCGGGGGGGCAGCGCCGGCCCGGGGCGGCCCCCGCCGCGTGGGGGGGAACGGCCTCCACCGGGCAGGGGGCGGAGGCACGGCTGCGGCGGGGCCCGGCCGGCGCGGGGGCCCGGCAGGCCCGGTGGAGGCGTGGGGCCGCCGTGGCCCGGGGCGGGGGGTGGAGGCCTGGCCTGGAGGGGGGAGATGAGGGGGGCGCGGCCTGGCCTCTCCCCCGGGGTGGCGGGGCTTGCGCTGGGGCGGCGGCCCGGGCCCGGGAGCGTGGGGCTGGCAGCCGGGCTGCGGGCCGGGGCGGGGCGGTGCCGTGCCGTGCCGGGGGTGTGGGGAGGCCGGGGAGGGGGTGGCCCCGGCCCCAGGGGAGGGCACGGGGCGGTGGCGGGCAGGCGTGGTGGCACCTCGTCCGCTCGACGCCGAGACCCGGTTCCTCTGCGCCGGAGCGCAGGACTGCCGGGCCCTCCGTTCTCCAGGCTGTACTTCGGTGGAAGTGTGGAGAGCGGTGGTGGCAGCGGCCCCCCGAGCGCGAGCGGGATCCGTTGCTGTTGGGGCATGAGGAAGGGAGAATCGGCTCTGTACCCGGGGGGAGTAGGAGGCAGGAGCAATGGGGACTTTCATGTTGTTTGGGATGTGAAGGTTACTAGATGGCAGTGATGGGGGAATAAGAGATTTGGTTGGGGTTTCTTTCCTTTCTATTTTTTTACGCTGTGAGATTGAACTTGTCACTTGTCTTGGATCTTGAGACTGAAGTAAACTTGAGAAGGCTTAGAAGTGCAGGATCTATTTACTTGTTTTCTGACTGGCAGTAGGAATTTCTTTTCTTGCTACTGTACTGTTACAGGTGTTTCTTCTAAGCTGCTGTGCTGTTAACAGGTGTTCTTTCTAAACTCAGATGAATGAAAAGGTGTTGCCATTTACTCCTTACATTCTGTCTTTCGCAAGTCCTGCGTCTGGTGGTTTTACATGGTCATTGCTGGCCTGCTTGCTAATAAGTCTGGTATTTGTTTCATTACTTCTTTACTTGTCTGCTTTCCTTATGGAGCCTTTGGTTTCAGAAATGGGTGGATTGACAGCTCCTGCTTAGTCTGAACTCTTTATATTCAGTTGCAATGCAAGGGACCAGCAAGTGTTCAAATAGGCTAATGCTTGCACTGTGCCTTGGGAAGGATGAGGTGCACAGGACACCGGGCAGATGTATCTCAATGACACATGTCCCATCAGGTGCTGTTAGTTGTTTTAGGATTATATATATTTCTCTTTTTTTAATGGTAACTGCAATTTATTTTATCCTTTAGTTGCTGCTTGCAACATTGTAGCATCTTGTATCACTTGATGTTGAAAGCTGGTGGTTGAACTTGTGTTTCCAAGAATGGATTACTCTGAAGTGATGTGTTAGAAGTCAAGGTGCTCTTCAGCATCTACACTTGGGAAATTTGATTTCAGATGGTTTTGGTTCCTTTTTCAAGTACTGAATTCTGGCCTTTGTAACTGGCTTTTCATGTTAATTTATAGTGTGTTAATTTAATGCTTGTCTTGTTTCAAAGAGTGGCCCTTTCATGGTCCTTGTTCATCTCAAACTGGGGGTTTCCCTACACAAATGATGTGTTGGGGAATTTTGTGGGTGAGTTTGGGTTTTTTTTTTAAATTAGTGTGTGTAGGCAAACAGATTTGAGTGTTACCAAAATCCAAAAGGAGAAACCCATTAAAGCATTAAAAAGAAAATGCTTATGTGCTTGATGCTAAATAAAGAAGTCCTTGGATTCAGTATACGCTGATACGACCTGAAGTGTCTGCCCTGCAATTGAGAGATACCCGAAGTGAGTTTGATTCCTTTAGGACGCCCTATCACAGCTGTTTCAGTGCTTATCTTGTTTTGGTTTTGTTAACTTTGGTAGGCCGTGATTTTGTTTTCCTATTATTTTTTTTCCCCCATTTTGGAAGAGGCTTAAATGTGTGAGGCTTTTGCACTTGGCTGCCCAGTATCGATCCAGTAGCCACCTCCAGTGGAGGGCTGTGAGACTGTAGAGCACAGTGTGTTTATCACAAGTCTGTCCTTGGGTCTGAAGCATGTGTTTTTGCTGGAAATGGTCATCCTGAGTGTTTTCCTCCAGTCATGCTGAGCTAACATACCAGCATGGGACAATGGCACACAGGAGAGTGAGGGGAGAAGAGCACAAGCTGTGGCTCTCAAAGCGTAATCTAGAGCAGAGGCGCTGGCTGTTGCTGCTAGATACTATTTGACAACTTTTCTCTCCTCTAAGAGAAGTTACCTGTGCTGGGCAAATGCCAGCTGAGAAGCTGTATTCTCTCCAGGTACATTGTGCAGGTACTTTACTCTGACCCACTCCCTCCCTCCAAGAAAAGTTTGTTGTTGTTCTTTTTTAATTCAACTGCATATGTTGCAGTTGTTTGATTTTTGGGTTTTGTTTTGTTGGTTTTTTTTTTTTCTGTGGTTGAGTATTAGGCTCAACATCTTCCCTGGCTGGTTTTCCAGGCTCACTGAGACAGGGTTGTCTGGAAACCATGGGGCACCTTCTGGAAATGTTCCTCATTGTAGCTGCTACTCTGCTTGGAGCATTTGCTTGTCTACCAGGACAGAACTTTGGCAGAGTACAGCCTTTCTTTTAACACTTCCGGAATTCATTTGTGAAGATCAAAAGTGACCAGTGCATTGAGCAATGCAAGTAATGTCTCCCCAAATCCAGACTGAGATTCGTTTGACACTCTCAGGCGTTAACCTTCAAGTTCATTCTTCAGATAATGAAGGTGTGCGGTTGTAGAAGTAGTTGGAACAACTGTGGCATTCATGTGTATGAAGATCAAGTAATTATGCATGCTAGATTCCATTAAACAAAGGGTAGCCTGCTATGTCTCCTTTCCACTAAATTAGGCCAATATGTAATAGTAGCTTTTACTGACTAGAAGCGAAGCAGCTACAGATCTCTTACTTCTGGCACTGGGAGCTCTGCTGTGGATCAAGAGCACTGAAATGCTGTGAATCTCTGAACTTCCTCCAAAGAGCAGAGCTGGGAAAGTTTGAATGAAAACTAAGATGTGTTATCTTTCGACAGCGAATGGACTGACCATTGGAACGAGCTGTGTGAAGGTAGCGGGGAGCCTCCATGCTTGCTGCTGCAATTCAAGGCCAGAAACTTTTTCTGAAAGATACTAAAGCCTTTGGGCTCAATTCAGGAATGATGAAGTGGAAACTTTATGGCCAGCATTACATGAGGTTCAGACAGGATGGTCCAGTGGGCTTCTTGAGTTTGAGTTTTATGTGTTTATGCTGCTAAAGCTGAGATACCTTCTCCATTTCCTGCAAAGTGCCATGCCATCCCACATGTCTGTCCTGTTCTGAGTATGTGGCTTGGTGAGTGGCTGAGCCAACCAACAGCTCCCAGTGGCTCATATTCCGTCCACTTCTGCCAGTGTGAGCCCATCCTCTCCTTTGAGCTTTGGCACTCACCCAGCCTGTCCCTGAGCTGATTCATTCCACTAAACCAGCAGGAAATTATCTTGTTTTAATTGTGTTTTATTCTGGCTCCATTAGTCCTTTTATAGGTTCCTGAACTTGAGTCGTCATAGAAAGGGGCCAGACAAGCTCAGGAACTGGTGTAAAGTAATTAGCGGGAGAGTAAAACAGGGAGGGAAGGACAGGCCTGCCTCCTTTTGGCCTCCCAGAACTGTTGGCTTGGTTAACCCCATTTTGTGTAGCTTCACCCTGGCGCATTTTCTTATGGCTCCCATGCAGAAGCAGGAGACTAGACTAAAGGATTCTTGGTCTGATCCTCTGCAAATGGTCTTTTCCTTAATAACAAATCTGCTCTTCCACTGCAGCTTTCCAGTCTTTTTCTGTATGCATCTGTGTTGTTGCTTCTTTGGTTTAATTTTTGTTTCTTTCCTTTACATTTCCTCTAAGTGACCAGTCCTTTACTTTGTGGAACTTCTTTAGACTCCAACTTACACCCAATTAGCTATACACAATTACTCTTGGAGAAGGTTTAAAAATACACAGCAAAGCCTGTCTTAGGAGACCAGTCACAAAAAAATGGATTGCTTAGCAGAGGTGGTCTAATAAAATCGGAGTGGAATTGTACTGTGCATCTTTGGGACAGCTTCTAGTTGGTCTGTTTGGGTGAGTTCACGTGTGGAAGTCTCGTGTTTCACTGTGTTGTCAAGTGAACTGAGATGTGTTTGTTTCCCAGCCTCATAGGGTGCCATAGCCCCAGGAAGTGCTTCCCTAACTAATCAGCGCCTTCTTCGCTCATTGTGATCTCACAAGCCATCGCGTCTGTGGTGTCACAATGGAAGAGATTCTGGTGCTGTGACATAGCTGACATATCTGGTGGTGCCTGTGACATATCAGCCAAGGAATGCAGCGGGAAGAATGAGCTCAAGAACGGGACAGACCTTCCTTAACCCAAGAGTGCCCTCCATCCTTTAGTCTACCCTTTCTGTGTTTGCTTATCTCCTCTATAATGGCCCATATAGAGGGAAGCCGATGCCTATATAGAGTGAATTGGGTTTTTTTAATTGAACTACCAAGATGCAGGTACCTCCTAGATGAGTGGTTGCCTGACTTTGTTCCTGTAACCCTCATCCTTCTTTGCTCTTACTCTCACTTGTTGTATTGCATCTAATTTTAGACTGTAAGTTCTTGAGAACAGGGACCTCTTCATCTGTAGTGGGAAGAGGCTGGGTATGATTGTGGAGTGCTGTAAAAACAAAATGATTGATGCCAAGTTGTATCTGAGCTGAGTAATAATGGGACAGCATATAGGCATCCTGTGGCAATGCTTGGGAAAATTCTGTTATGCATTTTCCAAAACACAGGCTTGGTTGTCTAGCAGGACCGGAGACAAACCCAGCCAAAAGTGAAGGGAGTGTAATCATAAAGTGTACTGGATTCATGTTCAGGGGTTGATACCATGAGGCTAATGAAGTAAAGAAGCAAATTTACCTGTCTAAAACTATGTGGCATTATTAAAATGGTTCTGAAAGCTTTGTGTTTTGTTGTTTGTTTTACTTTGTGTATTTTTTCTGGTTTTGTTTTGTTGGTTTTTTTCCAGGTTTGGATCATAAGAGTGGAATAAGCTGCTTTTGGTCATAGGCTCTTGTTTCCTGCTTTGCAGGCTAGCCAGGTGCTGTCATTTTTGGACTGTTGTTCATATAATGAAATACTTGGGTTTGGCTTAAGATTGATTAAAAAAAAAACTATATGGAGTTATCTCTATTGTTCTTCAGTTAAATCTTCGCACAACTGAAATATGGGCTCACATTTGACCTCTGAGTATGCATTTGAACAGCTACCAAGAGGGAAGTTTGTTATACTCTGTTCCAGGTGTTCCTAAATGTATCCAGTTTTGTTCTACAAAAAGCGTCTTTATTACCCTATCTTTTTACCTTTTATATTTATAATTTAATAAAACGAGACACTATAATTGAATAAAGTAAGAAAAACCTGACTTACGTTTTGGATTGGTTTTGGCTGCTCTAGCCTTAAGGTTAGTTGTCTGTAAGGACCAGGAGTCACAGCTGCCCCTACCCAGGCTTTTCACAGGGATTAAAAGGAAGCATGAAACTCCCAAAGCGTGGTTGCTTTATTTTTTAATTTGTTTGTCTTGTCCTTTAGATCGGTATGGGGAATTTTTTGTTTTTTAATATCTTAAAGGGCCATATTGCTATAACAAAGTAATTCATGTGTAAATGGAGGTACCAACCTGAACTGAGGTGTTGGTCTTCTTGCCTCCACTCCACGTCAGCTTATCAAACCGGACAGTGGAGGGGAGTATTTTGGGGTTGAAGGCAAGCTGTTAAAGTCATGCCTTCTCTTACTGCTGGGTACTTTAATTAGATGTGGTTGTAGAAGGTAAATATGATGTTATATGCAAAAAGCCCATTAGCTCAAGTTCATAGGCTAATTCATCTCTCCATTGATGGATTTGAATCCTCTGCACGTCGTGCACATCTCTGTGGCTCTAGGGCTGCCCTGCAGGTAGGAGAGAGCACTTTCAGTGCCCTGCTGGCTTTTGTCACCAGCATTCTCCACGTGGCAGGAGTTCCTTGCCCCTTGTGGTCCCCCCTAAGCAGCTTCCCCAGTGGGAAGCCTGGAGCATGATGGCTGCCAGTGCAGATTTTCTGCTTCATACTTGGTGGGCTCCCTCGGGAGCTGGTGGCTGCAGCTGGCACTTGCCTTTCTCTTGGCTTTCCTCACTTGCTGGTGGTCAAACTGTCATGATTTGGTATCATGTTGTCGAACCACCAAACAAGCAAGAACTGTGGTCAGCCTGAGCTTGGCTTGTTCCCTGCAGGTAACTGATTGCCAGATCAGATGTTTTTTCTAATGACTTAAAGACAGTTGTTGATTAGATGATGTCACGTGTGGCACATGCTGCTATACAGCACATAACACAGACTTTATCTTCCAGCTGAAACCCACCACACATGGCTGTTTCCCATGTTATTGGGTGTTGCACATATAAAGTGCTGTCACATTTTCCTCGGTCTGTGTGCAATCTGTCAAAATAATTCCTGAGGTCCAGCCTCAGTTCGTGGTCCCATTATGTTTCATATGTATCTGTGTAAGGAATCGGAGCTGTGTGATACGAAATATTAACCTAGTAGTGCTGAATGCCAGATGTGACAGCTTGCCCTGAGATTATAATCTGATCCTGTGTGTGTAAGAAATATATGTGGTGTTTTACATAGGCTTGGAAATGGAATCACTGAACATGTGGATTTATATGGGTAGAGCTGGGTTTCTAATTTTTGAAGCTGCATTGCTTGCATTGTTGTCTGTTGGAAAAAATACAGGATAATTATGAGTGCTTTGCATTGTCATAGCAGTTATAAATGCTTTACGTGACTTCTAATAAAGTCTGTTTGCTCACCAGCGATCTCATGCTCTGACCTTGCCAAAGAAGATGATGTGAGGTCTTCCCAGGGCACCTAGAACAGTGTCTGGGTAAACATGCAGTTCAAACTTCATTTGGCTGAAGGTGCAGAGTTTGGAGTGGGGTTGCCCTTATTTGTATGCCATCTGTGTAGGGGAATCAGCATGCAATACCCCACTCATGCACCTTTGGTTGGAGCATTGCTCCCTCTGCTACAGAGGAGAACAGGGAGGGAGCCTGATCCTGTCGTTGGACATGGACCACCTGTGGAAGCTGTTAATGTAAACAGGCACTAGATGTTGGCCGTTATTTCCCTGTGCTGATGTCCCATGGTACCTGTGGGACACAGGCCTGCTGGGATCTGGAGTGGTGCTGCCATGGCTGCATGGTGCCGTGCCTGAATCCTGCCCAGATGGCTGTTTTACTTTTGCTGTGTAGCTCAGTGGCTTGGGAACCGCTGCACTACTGTGCGTGGTGTGGCCAGCCCGAAGATTTGTGGGGTTCATGTCTGATGTCCTGGTCTTGCCGGTTGAGATAAATTAGAGAGGTACTGATCTTGCTGCACGTGGGTGGATTATATATGTTTTACTGCCTGTGTTTGATATAGGGGTTGGAGCCTGCCTCCCTCCCCCACTCCAACTGTGTGTTTTACTTTATGCAGTAGGCTAAAGACCAGGTTTTACTGCAACTAACTTACAAGCTGCTTTGTTCTGAGATGTTATGTTTGCTGTCATGTGCCTTCAGATTCATAGCCGGTAGTTTGAAGGTTTAAAGCATGTATATCTTAAATATTTCTTATCTGATAAAGTATGTATATTATCTGGGGCAGGTTAGAAGTGAATATAACTTCTATTTGGCTGTGATGCTTTATTAATGACAGTAAAAGCAGTAGGTGGAAAAGCAATAAGTAGAACTGAGCCCCTTTAAGATAAAGACAATGTTGGGCTCTTCGTTATGGTTTTGTAACTTGGGTTTTCAGTTTTCCAGGTTCCTGCTGCCTGACACACTGCTTTAAGAAAGCACGCACCCCCCAGAATGTGAAAGCCACAAGGTGGGGATGTATTTATGCTATGGAATTGGCAGCGTGGGCATTGGCTCAGTCTTAAACGTCTCATCTCCTCTGATTTTTGCCTTTCACTCGAAACCTTGGAAAGGGAAGGTTACCAAATGCATGTTTACTCGAGGCACACAGCGTGCTCAGCCGCAATTATCTCCTAATCTGGTCCTTTCGAGTTTCTCTGGTCTCGCAGGTAAATACAGATTTAGCCGTTATTCAAGGCATATTATTTACCTCATTAAGTGTGTGTTTTGGCACGTGCATTATTTACCTGACGGACTAACGGATGGGAGAGAGCAAACGCAGTCTTTTGTGCAAACAGCCACTTTGTTCACAGGCAATGATGAGTCCTCTGTTTTGCCTTGCCCATTTCGGTTCCGTCTCTCATAGCAGGCACTTTCAGCCCTTCGCAGTGGTGCCAACAGCGAGTGCAGACACAGGGAGGACTCAGAAGCCAAGCGGGCAGGTGGCACATGGTGGGATGGAGGTCTTGCCCAGAGCCTTGGGCAATAGGACCAACCATGAGGGTGGAGGGATGGATTTAAATCTCTATATGGCAAGGTGTGCGTATATATATGTACATACACAGAGGGGTGCTTCTATCCTTGTTCAAGAAGATTGTGTTGTTGCAGGTTACCTGTTTTGCTGTCAGTCACTGTACCCAGCTATGTAACACCTCTGTGAGTTGGGCTTGAACTCTCATCCGATAAATCTGTTAACAGCCCTGAGGCTGACCTGCCTTGGGCAGTGACAGTCCTGTTGAGTTTTTCCTGGAATGTCTTAAAAGAAAAAGCATGGGGGAATCCAGGGAGTCTCACATGGATAATGTATTTTATTACATAGCGTTTGTTAAATAGAAGCATCAGAAGGTGATAGCCGGCTGAGCTATTTCTTTGGGAGGGAGCCTGTAACCTTATAGAGTCTTGCTTGTATTTAGAGTTCCTGAAGTCCTGAGCTACCTGAAGGAAGAAATTGAGTGTAGCACAAGAATCACATCTCTGAGAAACCTCATACCCAGAGCAAATGAGTATTTCCCCTGGGGAGGAGCCTTCCAGCCACCAGATGCATGGATTTGTAATGGAAATGGGAGGTTTTGGTGCAACTAAACAGGTGTTTCAAGGCCAAGCTGTCTGGATGGGTTGTAGTGCTGATATATGTATTGTTGTATTGAATTCCTACCATATATCAAAAGTATATGAAAAGACAAAAAACCTCCTTAGAATCATAGAATGGTTGGGGTTAGAAGAGACCTCTGGAGATCATCTGTTTCAGTGGGGTTTAGAACAGATTTTCTATGTTTTGCGTGGTTTGTGTTGTGTTCTGCTATGATAAGGTTCAGCAAGGGGTTGCAGCCTGGTGCCTGGAGCCATGACTGTTGTGTGTCTCTTAGTTCTTAATTTAGAGCTGTTGCAGTGGTTAACTTCCAGTTGCCTGTATTCTGGACACCTTGAGCTCAGTCCAGATGTCATCTGTTGTGTTTAGAGCAGGGTACTGTTATTTCAGGTTTCCAATGCTGGAACCTCCACTGGGAAGCAAGAGGAAATCACTGTCAGAGGACAGTAGAGAGATGCTAACAGAGATGAGATGTACGTCTGCATTAGTAACGTGAGTCTCTCTTCAGTTTCAGATGCCTCTGGATGTTCAATGATAGCACTCCTCCATACTGGAGCAGCAAAGTTTCCCCAAAACTTACTTTCAAGGGCAAGACAAGCTGTGTACTCCCTCCTCCCAGCTGGTGTTCTCAAAGAGTACAGCTCCATCATAAGCAGGAAACTGGCGTCCCACGGCTTTGGAGCTTGCATGGCAGCAATGTCATCCTTCCCTCCACAGAGATATCACTACTTCCTAGTGCTGGATTTTGAGGCTACATGTGATAAACCACAGATTCATCCTCAGGTAAATAGTCAATCCTGTTAATTACCCTCTTGCAGGTTGCTGCTGCTGTTCTGAGAGGTGGAAGGAAAACGCACAGTGCTGGCTCACTCATTTTCTCTGGTTTGTCTCACCTTTCTGTTGCTGGTCCTCCAGAGCTCTTGCCAGTTACTTGCTCTCTCAGGAGCAATGCCAAGACTGTTTAGTGGGAATGAAATGAAGGAGCCGGTTTTCCATTGAGGAAGTAACAACTCACATGTAACTGAAACCATCGCTTAAGTCATCTTATGAGATTCTTGTCATCTGCCTGCACGAGGGGGAGAGTAAGAATTTTTTGGCTGGGAACCTGCATTAGTAGTGTACTCATGGCAACCTTGTTTGATTCTGCAAGGAAAAAGGCTGTTGGTAGCCAAAAGCTTTAGGACAAGAATAGTCTGAATGATATATGTGCAACATAATGGTGTTTCTGAGTAGAGAAGAACAATATTTTGGAGCTGTCTGATTTTGCTGCAGTTATCTTGCGTGCATGTTAACTCTGGATTGTAATGAGACAAGAGTTCAGCTTCAGAGAGATTTTGCAGTGACTTACCACTTGAGACGTATAGAGATCCAGATGAAGTACAGTACAGTGTATTAGTAAATATATTTTCAGTTGTCAGCCGGATGGGCCTAGGTTTTCCATTTAAATTAGAAAACTGCTAAAAAGGGGTAAAAAAAACCTAAATCCCAAACAACTAACATTGGGTTAGTAACAAATAAACAGGATTTCTGAGTCTCTAAAATGAACTTGGATTTCTCGTCCTCATCTGCCAAGCAATTGGCCTTGTATATACTGAATTCTGAGTGGTTTTTGTGTGTTCATATCTCTGGTTTCCCTTGCACTTGTTGAAGGGATGCTGTAAGTCAGGGTCAAATTTGATTCTTCTAATCCCCAGAAGTGCCCTGGTGAGTGCCACCTGCCTCTTGTGTTTCTTGGAAAATGAACAGCAAATTCCCTGCTCTTTTGCTAGGTCTTTGTGAGAGGCTGTTGTGGTTGTGCATCCAGTTCTGCTAGCAAGGTCTTAACTGCTCTCCAAGTGAGATGTCAGGCTATTTCCTGCACGCTCTGCCTCGGGTGCACGGACCTGTCAAAGCTGTAAATTGGATCTACCTTGTCCCTTTGGATATGGGCTTGGTCTGTGCACATTTTGATGCAAAACCATGATGCATGTGGAGGTAGTTTACAGCTGGCAGTAAAAAGGAGCATGAGTGGAATATGATTGCTACTGTTTTAAGGAGCTTTGTCCCCAAGTCCTTGCCAGGGAAAGTAACGGTCTGGGCCAATGCAGATACGCTATATATTTTGTTGGTGAGATAGCACCTTTAACGTGGAGATGTTCTTCAGCATTGTTTTTCTAGTCTGCTGTGTTTATTGCCTGTCTGTATCACATCATGTGTGGAAAGGGTCGTCCGTTCTTCACATCCTCACCAGCAAATTAGACAAATAAAGAAATGGCTCTTGCTACATGGGAATCAGTGTAGCTGCAAAGGCAGAAGACAGCTGCCAGAATTGGGCAACTTCATAAAATAAGACTTTAGTTGATGCCCCTACCTACATCTTACTTACCTTTTTGCTGACCAGCATGTTCTCTTCACTGCTGGGCTGTATGTTATAGTGGGCAAACTGCCATGTATTTCAGTGATATTTTGTGCAGGGTTTTAGTGGCAGGTTTTTTCACTGAAGCAGTGGCAGACAGGTTTTGGAGGTTTGGTCTGAGGACACACCTGGGACCTAGGAATGGTCAGGTTCTGATCTTCACCATGATCCTGATCCTTTTTCTGCTTTTAATACCTGAAAATAGAAGTCTAGATCAATGAAATTCAAATGCATTGGAATTTGACAAGGAGGCTGCATATACAGAGCTAAGCTGTGATCCAGGTTACATTAGTGGGGTAGGCATATCTAAACTTAGCCAGCTCAGCCTAAAAGTCTTACAGAGTGCACTTGTCACCGTGCAGCACATTTCACATTTCTCGCTAACTGCTCTTCAAACTATTCTGGCTTCTTACCAGAAACAACTGGGAAGAGCTGTCCTTTCATCTACACCAAGGTGTGCAACTGCCACGTCTGCTTCCCCTCACGCTCTTCTGCTCGCTAGCATTATCCCTGGGGAAATTCTTCATGCTCATTCGGGAGCCCGGATGACTCCTTTATTTCATTCCTTTTCATGCTGCCCAATCCCTATTGAAGGTCTGGTGGTATGGCCCCCATAATGGGGATCAAGGAGGGTCAAGGGCAGTGGTGTTCCCCTGGGAAGCAATGATCACTGCCTCTCGCTGCCCATACTGCTTTACCCATGGTCTCGTTCCCAAGGCAGGGACAACTGAATGATGTGTCTCTGTTCCTGAGATGCAGTGATTTATAGACTCACCTTGTAATGGGAGTGGATGTTGATTTCCACCAAATATAGGCTGTAGCAACAGATGTGCAGTCCCTGCTGAACTCCCTGCTCAGAGTGAGTAGATGTGTGATAGGCAAGCTGCCTTGGGAGCCATAGCCTAGGCTCAGAACATCCCAGGAGGGAATGTTGTCCCTGAAATCACTAACCTGCTCCAGGAGGAGTCTGGGAAGCAGACTGTGAGGTATCTTCTGTGTGTTTCACAAGCAGTGCTCTGTGGAGCCTGTATCACAGCAATCCTATGCCAGGATGGGAATGCAGAAGGTGGCTCACACAAGTGACGGAGAATGTCAAAATCTTACCCAGAGGCGGATAATGGAGATGTGCCTGCCTCTTCTATCTAGACATCCCCCTGTAGCAGCTTTCTTCTTGTGTGGTTTTTGTGTGGCTGTTAAGCTCAGTACATTAGAAATCACCTGCCAAAACCTTTATTAAGGATGATCATGAATTGCTGAAAAGTAGAAGAAATTCAGGCTTGTTTCCCATGGCAACTTTAACTCTGCACTCTTGTGCATAAGTATTACAGTGGAATATTAATCTGCAATTACCTGTCTTCATGCAGCTTAGGCTTGGGTGTAGTTTTAAATACCCAGTTCTCAATTCAGCTTCTTACAATGTTGTTTCAAGAGAAATGCCATTAAAACTGCACGTAACAGTGACTTAAAGTCTGTCTTTTTACTAAAAATAAGTAAAGTAATATATATATTTATCATCTTCTTGCCAATTATGGCTGTTGATATGCCATTCTTATGTCAGAATGCTTTAAGTTCTAGAGTGACAGGAAACAGTTCATGTAAAAGCTGCTTCAGGTGGGTTTTTCTGTTTGTGTTAATTTTTTGAACAATCTTTTGAAAAAACTTTTTGAGGCTTGTAGCTAATTCCTCTCAACAGTAAAAATCTTGCTAAAAGAACATGAATATCCATAGCTCAGCGTCCTACAAGATGCATCTGAAATTAAAGAGATGCTGTTCTTTTTTAATCATGTTTTCCATGTGTCACATGCTTTACTGCAGTTCTCTTGGGCTGTTGTGAAATCTTATTTTGACCAATATGGAGAATAATGTCTTTATTTTAAAAGATGTGGAGAGAAGACCAGTGTTTAAGAGAGGCTTCTGCAGGGTTTGGGGCACCAGGTGCAGTGTAACCCTCAAAAGCTGCATTCTCTGTGGCAGTCATTTTGCCTTGGATACGTCCCTTATTCTTCTAGTAAGTGGGGACAACCTAGCTGTGACCCATATGAATCTGACAGGGCAGTTTATGGCTTCAGGCAACAGAATTAGCTGTATTTATTTAAAGCCCGATGAGCTAGAGAACACGAACAGTTACTGAACCCAGATCTCCTGGAGAGTGCAACCAGGAGACCACCAGGAAAGACGTCTGATGTATGAAAAAAAAGTATTCAAAGCCATTTCTTATTTAGAGATACAAACCCAGCATTATTATAGCAACAAGCCTAAAATACCAAAACACTCAGGTGGCCAATTGCTGCAGTCCTAACCTGACCCAACCTGCTTAGCTTTTGGCTGGTTATTGACAGGCCAGTGAGGTGACTACTTTAAAGCCATCAGTCATGTTGCCCTTTTCCTTGCAGCATGCAGAGACCCGACATCAGTTATGCATCCCGGCGTGCAATTCCCCACCTGTGCTGTTTGAGCACTGTATCCTTAGCTGTGCAAACATTACACATCGTTTAGGTGACAAGTTGCAAAGTTAAGTAGACTTGTTGTTACAGCAGAAAGTAGTTGAGTGGCAGTCACCCTGAAAAGAAAAGATCCAGGCTAGCTCAAGAATGTGCAAGCCTGCTGCATTGTGTTTAAATGTTTGTTCACCTCTCTGTAAAGCTGCTGCTCAAGGTAATGTGTGCTGCTGGAAATGTTCACAACACGTGCATTTCTGAAGGGAAGGGAATGGGTGCCACAGGTTTGTATGTTTGCTGTGCTTGTCCTGCCCTGTGTGGTCGCTGACGATCTGTGTGAGCCTGCAGCTCTTTCACAGCCTCTGTGGCAGGAGGGGTATTTTGCATCACCCAGCATGATGCTTTAAAAGCAGGCAGTATTATCCCATGATGTGGTATGTATCTGGTGCTGTACAGGGACACTGCTTTTCAGGTTGCTGTGACTGCTGGGGAGTGGTCTTTGTTGTATTAAGGTGGCCTTTACTTAGTTTTGAACAAAACCACCTTGATAAACTGCAGCTCAGCTCTTTTGGTGAGAAAGACACAGGACATGCCAAAGTCTTGTGGTTTTCTTCCTCTTTGTGCCAGGCTGGCTGTGCAACCATCCCTGTGTTGTCTTTGTTGGTCTGTGTACTTGTTAGCTGGCAAAATAGCTCTTGGTTATGTTATTTAGCTCCTCTCTGCCAGGCAGAAATGCGCTGTCACCAGCAGCTGTTTGTGATGTCTGTAAAACCCTGGGTGTTCATTTACATGCAGTAGCATGCCCTTTCTACCCATCCCAGATGTTATAGTGTTGCTGGCAACATTGATCATTTGTTCTGCTCAATATCAGGTGAAGAGGTTGGGTCTTGAAATGATTTGATAATTGTGCATAGGCTGGTTGCCTGCGATAAAAAGGAGCAGACGTGAAA